CACGTATAAATTTTGTCAACATTGTTATTATTGCAGCCTATTAAAATTCATCTACTGAACGGCGATCGTAGCCGAACCCAACCTATGGGTAGCTCTGAATGTTAGCGACTACAGTTCATTACTTTGAATTGTTATCAGGAAGATGCTGCTGCCCATTTCCCTCTGTCGCCTCTTACGACACCCACAGGATGATATGGGTGGTGCATTCTCTTCCACTACAACTACACAGCTAGCATCAAAATGGTACAAGCGGTCATGTAAAAGTAAAAGGCAAAGATAAGTCTCCTCTTTTTACCTTTCCTTATGAGAGCTATTTCTTTTATAGGATAGGGTGACAAACGAGCACACAGTCCACCTGATGGTAAGTGGTGGCTGTGACCCATAGACATCTACATCTATCCTCTATTTTAAATCAAAATGCAGATGCGTTGTCACCCGTGAGGACTAAGATGGAATGCCTATTTCCAGTAAAAAGGGTCTCCGGGACACTACACTCACCATACGAAACATAGCAGTGTTAAGCTGCTATTTTACGATGGTATTCTGTGAGAGCGTGGTCCTTCTCCGATCGAGCCGACCCATTCGTGCTACAACTATACTACTAATATAGCTGCAGCATGGCTCTACCACGTAACATATATATGGAGCAATTAGACCGGCGTTGTTGGTTGTGTTGGCGGACTTTACATATCCTCGAAGTATTACTCAGCCATGAAGGATTCCGCACGATGTTTACTTGTACAGTTAGAACACGAGGTAAATCGGAACTTTGAATTGCAGTTAATTCATGTACGAGCATCCAACGTGCAGGTTTTATATTTTCCATTATAGGTAGTTCGCTTTTCCACTTATTCCATTTATCGGTCTTAGCAATAAGGTGCCCCGAGATGAATTTGTTTAAAGCTTTATTTTATTTCACCATTATCAAAGTATGTTGTTGAACAGCTGGGTTGTCTGCTCTAGTAATGTAAAATTGGAGTTCATTCAATTGAATGGATTTTCCGCTATCCGTCGGTTACCAGTCTCGGTTGTTAGCAACGTGAACCGCTTGTAAGTGAAGTTAACACTTGAAGTAAACTAAGAATTTTACCTCCACACACCATTAATAATAGAATGACAAACATTTTGTTAAGGGGTACGGAGGTGCTCTTCAATTAATTACATTGAATTAATTTATTTTACCATTTTTTTTAGAATTTTCGCAAAGTAACGCTCGCTTTTATGAATTAACTACAGGTTTACACATGTTTTTTGTAATAAACAGTATGAACGTATTTATATAGATTTAAATCTGTATTTGTTATAAGGTTTTATTTTGTACGTAATAAATATAAAAAAATATCAAATGATTGGTGGTGAAGTAATAAATTGTAAGGAAACCTGCGTGTGCAGTTAGTTCAAATGTATTATGGCGACTGACGGAAAACAAATGAATCAATCAGAAATAATATGCCTGTATCCAGCAGTTTTGTTTTGTTAACTAAAAATTGTAAAAAGTTGTTGCTTCTGGAAGTGGAGTGACGACCTGGTAAGACATGCAGGAAGTCAATGGATGCAGGTGGCTCGGGACCGTGCTTTGTGGCTTTCCTTCGGGGAGGCCTATGTTCAGCAGTGGACTTGGGATGGGCTGTAATGATAATGATGATGATAAACAAAATTATTCATAAAAATGTTACTTAAGAGTAAAAAATAAAATTACAAAAATTGTACCCGATGTGTGGTGGACACTAAAAAGTCAGGAGTAAATTCGGAGTTAAACACATCGAGCTAAAAATAAAGGCAAAGCAGGACAACGCCTGTCGGGCCAGGTAGAATTTAGTCGAGTAGTATTAGGTCGAGAGTTTAAACTAGGCGTTGGTCTTTCTGCACGTTCCTACCTATATGGAGTTTTCACTGCTATATTTTGTACCTTCTTAAGTATAACGTTATAATAAAAAACCGTTTATCGCAAGATAATAAGTCATGTAAAAATAAGCAATATCATACCCTTTTTCGTCTCTTGCGCCCTGGAAAAGTGCTAGAAGGCTGAGGGGGCGGCGGAATGTGGTAAAAATATGGCGGTGATAAAAAATCTTCAATCCCTGCCACTACATGTGACCCTCTCAATGGTGCCATAGATCTTACAGTACCATATATGTTCCGATTGCGTCCTTGAATTGTGTACATGTTCATCATTGCAATTAGCGAGTAAAGTCACATGCACTTTTGAAAACTTTCACTGAAGAGTGCGCGAAATAAAAGAAATGATAGCACTGACGATGAAACAATATTGAACCGATTGAGTAATTTGTAATACGAGGGTAAGACTTATTTTCATTAAAAATAGTCCACAAATAACTTTTTTGTAATCAGAGGTTTCTAATAGATAAATATTATTGCCAATATTTAAATCTTTAGCACCTCATCATTTCTAAATTTTTTTGCACAACGAAATGAAACTCGTGCGTGCCACCAGAGATATTGTTACTAAATGAAATGTCTGTTATAATGATTTAGATAAAATGATGTGCACACTCCATCTAATTATCATAGTTTATCTGCCTTTTCCAATAGGCTACGTGGAGCGCGACGTATCGACATAGTTTTATGTTTGTAAATGAGGGAAAAACATGAGCACACGCATTGGCGTGTATCGATACACTTCAGTAATTTTAAAAAGTTTCGTTTTTCAGTTTTATTCTTAAATTATTGTACACACATAAATTGAAGTAAAAATATAAATATAATATTATGTTGTTACGTGGAAAAGCCCTGTAGCCAATTGTCACAGATTAAAGTTGCAAAAAAATATTTGCTTATATCCTCGTAATGAAATAAAATGGTGGCTACAGCCACCGCAGAGCCTACTTCATCTGAGGATGCCTCGTGTAGAGGCGAAACATGTATCGACAGTGGTGTGTCTTTCCTAGTGTAGTGGTGTTGGGAGTAGTGGTGCTGGGATTAGTGGTGACGGGGATAGTGCACGCAATTGAGGGAGGGCGGGAGGTACTCTTCAAATTCGGTGAAACACATCATTTTATTTCAATAAGCAAATTAATTTTTGTTTCTGCAAAGTAATGCCTGATTCTATTCATTGTCACTAATTCTCAGTTTCTCAGCGTAAGCAGCAACATGGTTTCTAGTATGGCGACGAATGACAAGAGTTAGGTAGGAGAAACCAAATTGATACGAAGGCAAATTGCCATAAGTGCCGAATGAGGAGAATCCACAGTGTGCACAGCTCCATTATATCCTGTGGGTGTCGTAAGAGGCGACTACGGGAACTGCCAGAAAAGTTTTGATTGTTTTAAATAGATGGCGGTATTACCATTTTCAGTATCCATCCATCCATCCATTATAGTCTATAAAAGTCCACTATTGAACATAGGCCTCAGCTCAGGCTCTCCCTCATAGATCGCCTCATGAGGCGATTTTGCCATAGTTGCCACGATTGGCAAACGGGTTGGCAAACGCTATTTTGAGTTCTAATCAGGATGGTGCCCATCAACTGTTTCATTTTTCATTTTGACTATGCAAGACGTAAAATACCCATGACAGCGACGAGGAGCAGCATTAAAGGTGCGAGAGGTCTAGTAGGTAGGTAGGTACGTACAGCGATCGACAATCCGACCAAAGACGTATTAACGACTGTCAAAAGTGGCGAGTAAGATGAATTCGCTCTATAAAGGGGGAGTTCCATGTCTCATGTCCAGCGGTGGACTTTTAAAGACTGAGGATGAACAAGATGGACATTTTTAGATTAGCCATATTCGTAGATACACTATTTTCTCAATTTATGCCAAATCTCAGCAGCGAAGGTAAGGGGCCGTAGCGATGATGATGATGATGAATAAATAATAGTTAAGAGAAAATTTTTCATAATTTCCATGATTTGCGGTCACCGGTAAAGCGGGTGTTACCGGTATTACCTACATACGTGATGGTTATTATGCGATTTGTCGGCGCTCATAAGCGTATTCTGGAATATTTACCCTGAATAGACTTTAATTAACGATACTTTAGGTAGGTATAAGGTGGAATCATAGAAGTATTAGGTGGAATTATGTTTTTGGTGTGAATTTCATTTATCATGTACCAGCATTACAAGACACAAGTAACGCCATCTGTAGCATAATGCACAGAGCAATTACAACTGAAGCGTTCTAGTTTAATATTGGTTCTTTGCCACTTAGACGTATTAAAGTAATGTATCACGAGATGGCGCTTTACTGAGGCACGTGCGTGATTAGTCGATAAACGAATTCTATGATACAATGATACAATAATATTTAATATTAAATTTACAAAATTAGGCTGATAGAAAAATAATAATTACCAACAATTAAAACAAAATTGTAAATTTAGTGAATGATAATAAATTATAAGATAAAAGTATTAAGGTAGGTTATTACGAAATAATAATTTAAAACGGCAACTTTTAGTGACATATGACGTGTGAAAAAGGAGTTTTGGCGGGAAATTGACTGCCGGCGGTTTGCTGCTCCTGTATTATTGTTTAAATAATGGTTTGAAGTGGACTTTGATTTGTAAAAGTGTTGCGATTTTGTGTATTAAGTGTCTACGCATGTGAACTATTAGTGGAAACAGTGAAACAAGTGCTCTGATGGTGATGGATTCTCAAGATAAGCTGTTTGTTTGCATAGGCACCTTTAGATACCATCGCCAACTATCAGCTGTCTGCTGGATCAAGTTGCCGCCAAAATCTCCCAAGAACTGCACAATGTGACGCATCAACATATTGTGAAGCAGTATACTATGAAGGAGTGGGGAAATTACAATAAACCGAATAAAAATACTTAAGACTTGGCCTAAAGGTCTAGATACCAGGCCATAAACTCCAAAAAAAAAGACGTGTGAAAAAAGGAGTGACAAATTTAAAAATTAATATGTCATAAAATATTGCTGATTTCTTTACAAAATGGCTTTTTAAAATTATCGTCTAAAATGCTTACATTAAAACCACCTATTGTTTTTCCAACATAAACATATTTATCATCAAAATGGCATCTGGAAATTTTGCTAAATTATTTTTTACGCTGATCTGCAATAAAGTATATTGTTCATCACTTGGCAGGGACAACGGTCTTGGAAACAATTACGTGTGGGCCGGATCCCTTGAATCTGGTATACATATAGCAACAGTTCACAATAAGCCAGTTATGGTCATTATTCACAAATCATGGTGCAAATCCTGTAAGAACCTAAAGCCAAAGTTTGCGAATTCTACCGAAATTCAGTCGCTAAGTAAACATTTTGTTATGGTCAACTTGATGGATGACGAAGAACCAGAAGGCAACAATTACGCTCCGGATGGAACATACATACCTCGGTAATAATATGTTTACTTATGTTCATAATAAAAGAAAGTAAATTGCTGATTTAAAATGTGATCTGAGGAACGATGTCATAAAAGGAAAATTCAAATTTATTTACTAAATTATTTTCATTTTTTTCACACGTAATTGTCTCCGCGTGAGTGCATATGGTTAAGTTAAAAAACGTTAATGTTAAGTTAAAAAAAATTACAGCCTCTAATACGTCCCACGGCAGGGCACAGGCCTCCTCTCATTTCTGAGAGAGTTTTAGGGCCGTTCGTTATTAAATTGGAACAACGTTCTACACGGACGAGCGAGACTACTTGTTTGACAAACGAGCTCGCTGTAATTCTGTTGGGAAGTATTAATGCAGTCCATGGACACCTATAGCTAACGCTAAACAGAGAGAGTTACAGACGAGTTAACATTTTTAAACTACCTTTCAGAGCTTGCAGAAATACGAGTATCATGATTTCTTACATTTACGCAACTTCTACACATTAAATTAAGCTAATCCCGGGAGGACTGAGATGTCCCGGGAGTTTTTCAGGTTTGAGTTACAAACGAGCACACAGTCACCTGATGGTAGGTGCATGCTGTGGCCCACAGACATCTGTCCTCGATTATGAATTAAAACGCAGAAATCTTGACCCAGAGGACTAAGATGGAAAGCCCTGTTTCCAGTGAAAAAGCTCTCCGGTTCTCTACACTCACTATATGAAACACAGCTGCATTAAGCTTCTATTTTACGCTGGTATTCTGTGAGAGCGTAGTCCTTCCCCAGTCGAGCCGAGTCGACCCATTCGTGCATCAACTATAATATAGCTGCAGCGTAGCTCTACGTTAAGTATACGCACAGCTTTCAAGAAGAAAACTCAAGCTATCTGCTCAACTGTTAAAAGATAAGAATTGTTATTCAAAATAATATGAGTATTATTGTTACTTAATTAAATGTTCTATTCCCACAGAATACTTTTCGTTTCACCGAAAGGTCTAGTGGATCACGACATTGTCAACGAAGACGGCAGCAGTCAGCACAAATATTTCTATAGTAAGCCAGAGCAGATCGCCAAGTCCATGAGGAAAGCCCTCGAGAAGTACAACATGGAAAAATTTGACGTGTGATTGCATTAACATATTTTAAATACAATAATATGAATGATGTTTACTATGCATATTATTTTCAAACATTTTTATAGTATCGAAAAATATAACCAAATTTATTCCATTGCATTTTTATATACAGCCTGCGTCCGCGACCACAAAAACGTTGCGAGAAAATCAAAGCGGGCGATGTGTGCTGTGCAATTTGAGAAATTATACGTACCTACATTGCTTCACGTCTGTATTTCCTGAGGGTATATATAGGCAGAGTACTCGGATCAACTTTAGCCAAAAAATGGTTTACATGGAAAATTGTGGGGGATGTTATTTGTAGCTAGTCCATCGCTTACACAATCACAAACCCAATATCCCATTAGTCGCCTTTTAGGAAATGCTAGGCAAGTACAGTTGGCGCGTTCTCTTTTGTTATAAGTCCCACATAAACATGGAGCCCAAAGTCCAAGACCAACATAGGACTAATTAAAATTAGTAGAAATTGTACTTTTTAAATATTATTATTTTTATTAATGCGTTACATTGCATACTATATATTTATTTATTTGAATAGTTAGCGACGTAACTATACCCCTTGAACTATAAAGCGCTTCGTATCCTATAATAATACCAACCCTTCTACCCTTAAAAATGGAACATCAATTTAAATATATCAAAAGGGAATTTATCAACAGTAAAGCGTATTTCATGCTTTTGTGATCGAGGCGTGGACAAAGAAAAGTAAAATAAAAGCCTCCACACATCCCCGTACCGTACTGTGTCTGACCTGTGTCCAGCAGACCTCGTTTCTAAGAGAGTTTTGGAGCTTAGAAGAGACCGCATCACTATCCCAATGCATGTTGGCGGACTTCATACGTCTTCAAAATTTTTCTTTAAGCCATTATAAACACGGTTTACGCGGCAAACCATCATATAAAATTTCATTGTTGAATGAGATGGAACTTGAGTTACTCCTATACAAAACTAAAGGCTCGAAGTTTGTATAATGTGTACGTAAAATTATTAAAATTTAAATAAGATATGAAATGGTGTTGTTTTTCAGTGTTACTGCTTACGCCTATTTCATAAAAAACAATCAGCCTTTTAATAGGATAAATATCCGCAATGTCAAACGCAAGCAGGCATAATAATGGGGTCCCGGATAAGCCGCTGTTCGGTTCTGTTTACGAGGCAGAAAATTTTCTGTTATCAGCTATTAGATTTTAATGTAGTTGGTGTTTTAACTGGATTAATGAATGTTAAAATATAAAATTACACAATAGTTTTTAATGAATACTCAATCAAGGAATAACAATGCAATTAACCGTCGAATGATCGGTTTAGAGACGATAATCTCGTTTTAATCGGATTTAACCATGATGAACTATTCCGGTAATATAACCAGGAATAATCTGATGCGCTACTAAAAGCTACGGCAAGCAGTAAATTATTTGTTTGTAGCTATTGGTATTAGTACCACGTTGTTGTGGCGAGAGGGAAACTGAAACAAGAGATAGGTGCAGCATATTACTGCAAACGATTCAAGATAACAAAATCTGCTGTTGCCAACCAGACTGCCAAGCGTGGCAACTATTTAAAATTCTCTCTAGTGTGAATGTTAGAACCAGGTGATAGGCGCGTCCTTCTTTTTTTATAGGATAGGGTGACAAACGAGCACACAGTCCACCTGATGGTAAGTGGTTGCTCAGGCCCATAGTCATCTACCTACATCTATCTTCGTTTGCGTATTAAATTGCAGATGCGTTGTCAGCCGTGAGGACTAAGATAGAATGCCTCTTTACCAGTAAAATGGGTTTCCGGTTCTCTACACTCACCATACGAAACACAGCAGCGTTAAGCTGCTATTTTACGCTGGTATTCTGTGAAAGCGTGGTCCTTCCCCGTTCGAGCTGACCCATTCGTGCTAGAACTATACTATTAATATAGCTGCAGCATAGCTCTACCACGTAAAATATAGCTGCAGCATGGCTCTACCACGTAAAATATAATGGCTCTACCACGTAAAAATAATGGCTCTACCACGTAAAAAAGTTATCTTGCGCATCTAGCTTCTGAAAAAGATCAACGTCGGCCAGAAAAACATCATAATCATAAACTTGCTGATAATGAAAAAAAAAAGTATATATCGGAAACGTAAAGGTACTCACATCCTCGATGACTGGCTCGACGTACATCTCCACGGTGTTGTTGAGGGTGGGCAGCGGCATCGGCGACGCCGCGGCCGACGAGCGACGCGACATGCTGTTGCATGAGCATTGCGACACCGAGCGACGCGACCGGGGAGATTCTCTGCAATAAGGACCAATTTGGTTAAAAAAAACTTATTCGATTTTTTGAAAATCGATATGCTTCCGTTACCGTATCGTTACAACCTCAATAGGTTCTTCAATAGTCCACTGCTGAACATAGGCCTCCCCCATAGATTGCCTCATAGGAGGGAAATTTAACACAGTTGCCACGCTTGGCAAAATGGTTGGCAACAGCATTTTTTTATTTTGAGCCGTTATTAGGAAGTCGCTGCTACCCATCTCCTGATTTGTTTTCCTCTGTCGCCTCTTACGACATTCACGGGATGATATGGGGGAGGGGAGGGATATTCTTACACCGCCACTACATGATGAGATATACTTCACGTCATAGTAAGGTATCTATTTCAATAGAATACAGTTTGAATTATCCGAATCGGTTGAGTAGGTTTTGAGAAACGGATTAACATACTCGTTGATAAAAGAAATGTAGGGAGATACAGAGGTGACATAATCCAAAATATTGTGACGTACTTAAGTGTACATTTAAGCATATAACTTTATATATAGGAATGATAATGTAATGAATTATATACAATCTTCCTATACAACAATCATAATAAATTATCACTCTTTGAAATATCTAAAGGAATCCTTTACAAATTAATTTCTGGGTGTGTCCTGTCGTATTACAAAGTGAACAATATCACTTTCTAACAATCTATTATACATGTAGACTTGTCCTAAATTGGCTTTATTTGTGGATTTTAATGCATCTCTAAACGTTTTTTTACTGTCGAAGTGAGGGTGATAAACGAGCACACAGTCCTCTATCATCTATCATTAAGAATCAAATACAGATGCATTGTCACACCTAAGAATACACTCAGCCAACGAAAACCATTTTACGCTGGTGTTCTGAACGAGTGTGGTTGTTCTCCGATCAAGGTGACCCATTTTTGCTGCAGCCATAATACAGCTGCAGTGCGGTTAAAGCGTATGGACCGCGAACTTAAAAAAAATAATTTTAAATCCATCATGATTTCTTATATTTACGCGAACACTACAACATTGAATAAAACTATTTTTTACGGATTTTATCGTGTTTAATTTTACTATTTTATTTTACGTCCCATAGTGAGCCAATAACTTATAAGTTGGCTCAACACCTGGTAAAAATTCTGTCACCACTGAGAGGACAAACTAGAGCACACACAAAGGATTCGTACCATTTTGTTAGTGAAATAAGAGACCTACATCTCGCTGACAATGAAACTATGGTCAGTTTTGATGTTCAGTCACTATTTACATGCTCACCTATTGAAGACTGCATCTCAATTGTAACCAGAAAGCTAGAAGAATACAACATGCCTACAGAATATGCAGTATTATTCAAACACTGCCTTACATCTGGCTATCTATTGTGCAAGGAGGAGTTTTACAAGTAAGTAGATGGAATGGCGATGGGCTCACCAGTATCTCCCATAGTCGCCGACATATTCATGGAGGACTTTGAGGAGAAGGCCCTTCATACTGCTCCTGTAAATCCAAGATTCTACAAGCGGTACGTAGACGACACTTTTACAATTTTACCATCTGACAAAGAAACTGCATTTTTAGACCACCTTAATTCCATAAACTCTAAAATACAATTCACAATGGAGTTAGAAGCAAACAATTCTTTAGCTTTCCTAGATGTTTTAGTCATCCGAAATCCTGATAACACCATTGGTCACACTGTGTATAGGAAAAAGACCTATACCATCCGATATTTAAATGGTGAATCGCACCATCATCCATCACAGTTAGCTACCGTGGGAAAATCTTTGTTTCAGAGAGCACGAGGGATCTGTGATAGAAAACATCGGGCCGCCGAGCTTCAGCACGTCGAGCAAGTGTTGCAAGACAACAAGCTTCGGGTCCCGCGCCTACGTCACAGTGACCGAGTGAAGCCAACCACAGTCGAGCGTGTGCCTGCTGTACTACCCTATGTCAGAGGAGTCACAGACAAGGTTGGCTACATCTTGAAGCGAGCTTCTATTAAAACATACTTCAAGCCGCTGAAGAAGATTAGTCAATTTTTACCATCCATCAAGTGTAATATCCCTCTACAAGATGCAGGAGTGTACAAGCTTGCTTGTGAATGTGGTCTCTCTTACATAGGACAAACAAAAAGATCCATTAAAACCCGCATGAAAGAACATATAGCTGACGTGAAGCACCGACGCTCTGGGAAGTCTGCAGTCTGCGAACATGTTCAAGATCGCCCCCGTCATTACATCAGATTTGATAGACCACAAATCCTCGCAAAAGAACACCGATTCCTACCAAGGATGATATGCGAGGCTATTGAAATTAAAAAAAAACATCCTAATTTCAATAGAGAAGATGGATGGGTGCTGCCATCTGCTTGGGATCCTATAATTAACAAAATTAAATCCAAACCCAAGCATACCACTGCTAGACTTTAAGATACTGTAAGTACATTCTGCGTAAATCGAACCAAAAGTTAATATTAAAAAACTGAAGGTAGCCGGGCTGTGACATCGGGACGTCAAACATCTCAGTCCCCCCCGTGACCATGGGTTGCTGTAAAGCACCCGAAACGTCGGGAATTAAAATAGTAAAATTAAACGCGATAAAATCCGTAAAAAATAGTTTGTTTCAATTTAAATCCACCATTTAAACTTGTATCAGGTGTGGCATATTTACTAATTAGAGTGGATTTTTTATATTTAAAAAAAGGTACTACTGTAAATA